TTTCGCACCAACCTTTGAAACGAGTTGTTCAACCCACTTTCATGCATCAGTTGGCCACTTTGCTGGTTCAAGAGAGCGTAACAGAATCTTGATTCATTTCACTCTCAACATTTCTGCATGATAATAACTTCTTTGAGGAATTCACTAAAGTTATGCTAATGCCAGTGATTTACATGAGATTGGAAATTGGTGTTTGTATCTATTATATATATGCATAATAAAACTTGTTCTTTTTCTATCATTATCAACTGTGTAGAATTGTTAGTTTTGAAAGTTTCTTTCTATTGAAAAAAGGATCTCAACAAAATTAATTCAAAACAACTCTCCTACCACCATATTAACGATTGTTTTCTTGCAAATCCTCTATATTTTAAGTCACTAGTCTCTAGCTACCATCTCGCGTTTCAAACTTGATCTTTATGAGTGAGAGGGAACATATATACGAAAGAGGAACACATTATGAATTTTGATTAGGGTTATTTAATCCAGTGGTACTTGTCCTTGCATTTGGAGGTGTGTTAACTAATAACGTAATGAAGTGGTTAATGTTATTAATTGGTGGGTCAATTTAGTTGTGCATGCAAGGAAAAGGAAACATTATCTAAATAACGTCAGTGGCGCCAATGCAATAGTGCAGAATTTAAAATGGCGAATCTTGTAGTGCTTTATGATAATGATCAATTTCAATTAATTTTGTCGACATTTTTTTTCCAATAGAAAGAAACTTTCAAAACTAACAATTCTACACAGTTGATAATGATAGAAAAAGAACAAGTTTAATTTATTATGCATAGCAGATACAAACACCAATTTCCAATCTCATTGAATCACTGACATTGGCATAACTTTAGTGAATTCATCAAAGAAGTGATTACCATGCAGAAATGTTGAGAGTGAAATAAATCAAGATTCTGTTATGCTGATCTCTTGAATGAAAGTGAGTTGAACAACTCGTTTCAAAGGTTGGTGCGAAACATGGTCATGTTTTGAGTCCCCTATGAGACTTAGTATTACGAGTCATGGATAATTGAGAAACCCCTATCTTTCTTTTGCCACCAAACCCATAATCTTGGTTTTGAATTCAAAGGCCAACAATAACCAAGAAATGGAAGAATTATTCTTCTTTGCACCCAAGGTGTAGGCGACTCAAACATTTTTAAAATTAGTTTATAATATGTCTAACAATGACAATAGAAATATATTATGTGACAAGGAGTCACAAATTTCATAATTTTTTTAGTAATTATTTTGTAACTAGCATATTTAATTGTTTTATTTTTAGTTAATTTGATAAATTGAAAAGATTACAATAGAAATCATTGGAGACATGTCCATTAAGAATTATCTCTTATATTTTTTTTTTCTTGCAAATGAATTATTTTTGGTGGATATAATTTTCAAATTCTCATAATTATTTTACTGATATCTTTTAATTTTTAATTTTTAAATTTTAGATAACATATGTATTTAATTAATTTTTTGAAATTTTTATCTTTTAAACTTTAAATATAAACTACACATAATCTTTTAAATAATTTTTAGTATAGTTTTTCTTTTCCTATAACAGAATTATCTTTCAGTAAAAAGAGTTTATAAATCTCATAATTATTTTGGTCTTTTTTATATATTTGACATATCTAAAAATTTTAATTATAAATTTTTAGATAATTGATAAAGTTAAAAAAATATTTTATATTTATGAATTAAATTTTGGATTTAAGATTTATAGTTTCAAGATATAGTGTTTTGGAGTTTGTGACTTTGAGGTTTAAGCTTTAGTTTAGTAACTTAATATTCTTATAATAGGATTATCTTCAGCTAAAAAAGAGTTACAAATCTCATAATTTTTCTTGTGATTTTTTTGTAACTGAAATATTTTAAAAAAATAATTTTTAAATTTTTGATAATTTGATAAATTAAAAAATATTTTATAATAGAATTTTTTTCTAGATGAAGTTATTTTAATAAAGATATTTTTATAAAAATATTCATACAGTTAAGAAAGTAATATTGTAACTAAATAGAATTTTTTTTATTTTTTAAGAAACATATATAAACATTATTAGAAATCTTTATAAGTAGTCAAAAGAATTTAAGCTATTTTTAAGATTTTTAATTCTCAAACATCATGATTCTCATATATAAAAATGCTTTTCCCTTACCAAATATCCTTCTTAATGCAAAAATATTGACAAAAAAATTAATTTAATTTAACATAAGCACTCTGAGGAACTATTTTTTTTTTAAAATTAAATAATGATTTGAAAATAAAAAGTTGAAAGAATGAAAATGTATTTTAACCATTTCTATATAAAAAAGTTTTAAGTAAAAAAAAAAAAAAATCTTCCACCAAATCCCAATTAAGAGATAAGAGAGTTTGAAAAACTCTAAATTACACTTTATTTTTTTTATAAACTTTAAAAAGCATTGTATTATCTTTTATTACTATTTCTTATTTATTATTTCGAGGATCATTCCAACTATGATTAGAAAAATCTCAGGTTATTACTATTAATTTTAAAAAAAAAAAAAACAAATGTTTGATTATTTTATCTCAATCAATTTATTTCTCTAACCCGATTACGTTCTTTCTGTGCCCATTTTCACATCCACAATTAACCTTTACCACTTTTGTTTTAAAATTTCACATTTTCACTGATATTGTCTCTCAAGTCTCAATCTTTACATCCTTCATATGCTTTGTTTTAACAAATCTCGTTTGACACCTTTGACAACACCTCTTTTAGCAATGTGTCAAGAAAGGTGACAATGTATGTAACCATAATAATTTGTACATATTTAAAGCCAACTAGGGATGAGATTTGGTTACATCACTATGGACATCTTAAAAGTTAAAACTAACATATTACAAATCTTACACATGACAACTTTCCCATATAATAATAATCAACGTACTTTTATAATCCTAACAAATGAATTATTGCTTATGCCGATATACAGTTGTTATGAAGTAAAAATATAAACCAAAGTAAGTGGTGAAGAGTGGTCCTATGGTGAAAATTATGGAAGTGAAGGTACATAGAAGTGCTTTAAAGGTGATTAAAGGAGAAAAAAAGTATTTTAACAAAAAAGATGGTGGTGACTATAAGAATGAAAAGGCTAGATGTTTAGAATTTGCAATGACAATGACCCAATGATGGAAAACTAAAGAGAAAAATTCAGGATTGTGATAATTTATCATTAGTTCTTATCACTATTTCCAACCTTATAAATTTAGAGTGTTTAGACAGATAATTTAAATAAAGTAATTTAAATTTTTAAAATTTTTAAATATTTTACGATAAAAATATTTTATTTAGATAGAGAATTTTAGAAATTCAAAGTTTAAGTATTTGTATTTTTTTTTTAAATAATAGAATTTTCAAATTCTAAAAAACAAAAAAAATCTTAATATATATATATATTTTTATCTTTCTTCTATTTCTCTTTTTTCTTCACCTTTTCTTCTTTCTATTTTGTTTTTTTTATCTCCTACCTCCCTCACTTCTTTTTTAAATTCAACATAAAATATCAATAATTTTTAATTATTAAATATTTAAAATTGGTCAATATTTATTATTATAAAATTTAATCTTAAAATATTAATATATATATATATAATCAATTTTATCATGATGAAAATAAATTATCATATCTAAAATAAGAATTTAAAAATTTAAAAAATTAAATTAACTTATTCAAGCAAAATATTTAAAATATACAAATAAAAATAAAAATAATTAAAATTCTAAAAAATTCAAATATTTTTAATTTCTAAAATTTCTCTTCTACCTATAAAAGAACAGTTAGAATTTAGCAGAAGATGCTTAAATAAAATACCGACAACATGAGACGAGAAACACAATAAAATAAACAAGTGATGAAAAATCTTATAGTGTGTTTGGATGAGAAATTTTACAAATTCAAGGATTTTTAAATTCTTGGTATTTGAATTACTTTGATTTCAATTTCTATCATTCTTAAAATATTTTGTTTGGATGAGTCAATTTAAATTTCTTAAATTTTAAATTGTTAGGTTGAATATGATAATTTGATTCCATCATATAGTAAAATTGATTTTAAAAATATATTTATATGTTGAGATTTTTAAATTAAATTTTATAAAAATAAATATTAATCCATTTTTAAATATTTAATAATTTTAAAAATTAATATAAGATAATATTTAATAATTTTAAAAATATTTTTGAATATCTAATAATTAAAAGAATGAAGAGATAAGATAAAATATATAGGTGAAATAAGAAAAAACAAATATGAGAAATTTCAAATTCTTTCGTTTTTGGAAAAATTTAAAATTCTACTATTTTAAGGAATTTCACAAATGTTTGGATTTCAAATTCTTTATAAATTCCTCATCTAAACAAAGCATTTCATCTCAAAAAATTTGAAATTCTTCAAATAAATGAATTATCCTATATAAATTCTTCGTCTAAACACACCAGGAACGTTTTACGCATAATACACAGTCTCAAATTTTATAAGAAATAAAACCGAAGCACCTCCTCCAATAAAGGAAAAAACTGATACCATATTTTTAAAAACTCAATAATAATAAATACATGTACGCTGACAACACAGGAGAAACCTGACAAACGGTGTGCCACTTCAACTGAAAAAATGGGCTCTTTTTAATAAAAAATAGACTCTTATTATTTTTTATTTTCAAATAAAACTGAACCCAATTCAATCACGACTTGTTTGGATAAAATAAATTTAAGGTAATTTTAGAGAAAGATTAAAACAAAATTTTACACAAAAATAAAAAATAAAGTAAAATTAATTTATATATAATTTTTCACTTAACCAATATAAATTTGAAAAAATTAATAGAAGAAATTTTTTACAAACTAACTTGTACATAAATTAATATTAATTTATTAATTTACATAATAATTTATTAATTTATTATAATTTTAAGAAAAAACAAAAACGAAGACATCTCTTCCTCCCTGCTTGTTTATGTAATGGGCCATCATCGCCTAAAGATACGAATGTCACGTTTTGATCCAAACAAGGAACCCAACCCTTCTATCTCTCTCTCTCTCTCTCTCTCTCTCTCTTAGTTCAGAAACCGCTTCACTCTTTCTCTCTCAACCTTCACTCACTACTCACTCTCCCTACACTGCAGAGTAAAGTTGGCACCGATGATGAGCAGCACCCTCTCATGAAACCGCACCCAATGCAAAAACCCTTCGCACACCGCCATAGTAGATCCCTTTCCTAGATCTTCTCCCTGCATGCGCCATTACTCATTCCAAAGGGGTTTTGGGCTTCGAGGGGTTCACCCGTTTGGCGCAAAAGCGAAACCTTTGGGCCCTTTCCCAAGTGGGTAGCTCCGCAATGGCGCGTTTGGATTGATCCTTATTTTTTTTAGAGGGTTTAAGGGGTTTTGAGAAATGGGTAGCTCCGGTGAGTCGAACATGAACGGAATCGACGCGTCCGTCGGTGGCTTGGTTTGGGTCCGACGCCGAAACGGGTCCTGGTGGCCGGGTCGGATAATGGGTCACCATGAATTGTCGGAGAGTTGTTTGGTTTCTCCGAGATCGGGTACACCCGTCAAGCTCTTAGGTCGTGAGGATGCAAGCGTGTCAGTGCTTCTTTTTTCTTTTCTCAACTTTTTTTCTTTTGTGTCTTGCTCATATTTCTGATTGAACTTTTTTTTTTTTTTTTTTTTAAGTTTTAATTGGATGGTGTTGTGGTTATGTGATATGATACTGGTTTGATTTTGATCACTGGAGTTTTATTTTATTTTTTTTTGGGTGAGGTTGGGATGGGGGGACTGTTCTTGATTGAAGTGGCGTTTTCAGTCCAGATAGTGGATTGGGAATTTGAGATACTTGGGACAAGCTTTTCTGTAATTTTAATGTGATGTGGGTTTTTATGCTAATCGTCGAGTGTGGACCGTTATTTTAAAGTGATTTTCTAGACAGTTTTTTTGGTGTTTCTGGTTTTGTTCATTGGAGATATTGTGGGATTGAGTTGTTCTTTCAGTTTCTTAATTGTGTTCCCCACAACTTTATTGGGGACTTGATGGGGTTGCGTGTGTTTTTATTTTTTGAATTATTGGGGATTTTGCAGCCATTGAGCTATCGCGTTTTAAACCATAAAATTAATATTATTGGTATTGAAGAGAGGTATTAAATGTGTCTGTCATTGTTTCCTGTTAGGTGAAGCTTAGGAAAGAGTATAACTAATTTATGTTTCTCCAAATATATGATCGGAACTGTTTTGTTTTTGCTGATTTGTTGTTTGTTCTAAACTATGTTGAAAATGCTTTGTTTTTACTGATTGGTCAATGTCAATTGCTTGGCATGGGCCTTCACATTGACATGCAGAAATATCCCGAGTGGCTTTTCTGTGAATGTTTATCTTCTGATTTTTTTTGTAGCATAAGATCAAGATGCAACTTTTGATGAGAGTGGCAGTTATGAAGTTGTTTTTCTTTGGTTACTTAAGATAAATGGATGAAACTTTTTGGGTGTCATGATATAGGTTAAGAAATCACCTTGTGTAAGGTTTAGTTTTAGTTACTTCTTGTTTGATTACTATTACATCCAAGCAAGCTTTTGGGAAGGTTATCAAATGTGGTGATCCTAGCAATTATAGTTGGCTGTGGTTACTACCTTTCATTCTTCCAGAATGAAAATTGAACCATATAGTCTTGTCTGTCTCTGGAGAAACATTATGATGCTTACATCCTATAAATCTATAATTCCTGGTTAGGCTACAAACAGATTTTCAGAATAATCAGGTCCAATTTTAGAACTTGGTTGTTGTCACCACTGTTTTGGACATGGCTTTCCCTTTTTAGCTGAACTGTAAGCTGTTTGCCAGTAGGGAACTTACCGATTTTCCACTGTAACTTCCCGAATTCGATTCATTGTCATGATATAAAAAAAAGTTGAATCTGCTTGTGCACTTCAGTTGTCTTTCTTGAATTTGTTTGAGCTATTAAAGTTTCTTAAAATTTGCATAAGGTCTGATTTTGGAAAAGCTTCTTTGGGATGCAGGGATTGGTATAATCTTGAGAAATCCAAGCGGGTAAAAGCTTTTCGCTGTGGAGAGTATGATGAATGCATTGAGAAAGCAAAGGCATCTGCTGCAAATTCAAACAAGAAGGCAGTAAAGTATGCTCGCAGGGAAGATGCTATTCTTCATGCTCTTGAACTAGAGAGTGCTCACCTGGACAAGGAACCATTAAGCTTATGCTCCAGATTAGATAAATCTGGTAGTGATAATGGAGGATCAGCTGGAGAGTTACCACTTATGTCTAATTCTGAAGATGACAATGAGGATGTGATTGATGATCCGAGTGACTCTGATGACAATTCTAATTCAGCTCCAGAATTGTCACAATCTGGCATATCTTTTGAAGAGCCTAATCACAATGGTTCTTTAAAGATGCAATCTGTGCAAGGAAGGAGGAGGAGAACACCTAATGATTCAGAAGATGATGGATCTGAAGGAGTCAAGCGAATGAGAGGACTTGAGGACCTAGGCATTGGTGTAATGTCAAAAAGAAAGGTCCAAGGTACAGGTACATCGGAGATTGTTCAGCACATTAGTGCTTCACTCAACAATTCAACCACAGGGAACTGCCTGGCAAATGGGACTTCTGTAAATGGTGGTAAAGGTTATTCTGCGACAATGAAAAGGAAGAGATCACAAGTGGCAAATGCTCCTGAACTCCTGAAAAGGAAAAGTCGACGCCGACCATTGACTAAGGTTTTGGAGAGTACAGCCATGGTGTCAGTTCCTGTCATTTGTGATCAACTTCTCAGTTCAAGCAGTTCTCCACTTTGTGGGGTAACTGATGGAAGAATTTCAGGATTAGATTCTAATGATTCAAAGAAAACTTTTCCAGTGACAACACTTAATTCAGATGGTAATGAGGCTGCTTGTGAGAATGGAACTTCATTAATTGTTCATGACCATGGTAGTGATGATGCTTCCCAGATCAATCATGGGGTCAAGGAGAATGAGACTTCTGGCATACCAGAGCTAGTGGGCAAAAATTCTCCTGAAAAACTATTTGATGTGCCATTTGTTGGGGTTCTAGGGGAGGAAAAACGCACTCTGGGTATGCCACAGTATCTGAATTTCTATAGGTTCTTTTGTGTGTGTAAAGTGCAATGTTTACGATTGTCGTTGAAATGTCTTGTAGTTCATGATCCTCTCTACCCCTGCTTGCTAATATTATTTTTCTTTCCTTTTTGCTCATTATTCTATTTCTCCCTTTTGGTTTCTTGATAGATTCAAGTCTTTAGATGGGTGTGTTGCATAAGTATGATAGATAGTTTATGTTGCCTTACTCAGAACATGAATTTCAGAAGAAAAAAAAAATTGGAAATTGAATGTGGATTCTGGAAGAGGCACAGTGATCATACATTAGACTAATAACAGTTGAATAGGCTAGGTTACAACATGGTTTTATGGTTGGCTTCTTTGGAAGTAAAATATCAAGATTCACCAACTTTAAATTTTGCACCCGAGCAAGTGGCACTCATGTTACCTATGTTGCAGAAACAGTTATATCTGATTATAACTTGCTTCTCTTCACCATTGTGATTGTTGCTTGCTTTTGTCTGGTTTTTTATGGTTATTGCTTATGTCCCGATATTATGTGTAGTTGTGTACAAACTGTTTGGTTAGAGTTGCGTCACCCAGTTATAGTGCAAGAATAAATATATAAATTTCATAATATGTGATTTTTTTTTCCTGAGGTTTGCATATCAATGCTACTTGCTCCCTTATTTTCATTTGTTTATCTTTAATCAATAAAACCCTTTTTTACCTATTGTTGAAACTTGTAAAATATAGTTAATTGTATTGTCTGTAGTGCTTCAATTTAGCTGTACTACAACTTTGCATTTTATATGTTGTGGTTTGAAAAGATGTGGGATGGATAATTAACATGCACTGATGTAATTTCTTTTTCCAGGTTTCTCATCTGTACTAGTTTCTTGTTCATCTGGCAAGCCTCAAGTTAGTGCATTGGGACAACCATCTTGTAATGCTAGTCAATGTGAAGATGTGTCTTTGAGAAATGAGAG